CTATCCAACTGCTAGAGCTGTTGTCTGCTCAGCGCACTGCCGTCTTTGGAATCGAGGGTTAAGGCTTCAGAGCGCCGGGGTTGCTAGTGGCAGCAGAGTGGAGGGCTAGAGTGGTAAACAAGTTTATGGTCAAGTAGAGTGCTCCAAGTGCCCTGTTTACCGCGCCTAAAGAGATGGTGGTAGAAGAGTGGACAAGTAGAGCAGTCAATGGTTGTCATGAGTGCCTAAGGTTCCTGTTTTCTGCGTTATCTAACTTCTAGAGCTGGTGTCTGTGGAGTGCGCCGTCGTGGTTATGAATTCAGAGCGCAAGGGTTGCCAGCAGTAGTAGATTGGATGACTGGAGCGGTCAAAAGGGTTATGGTAACGTACAGTGCTCTAAGTGCCCTGTCTTCCGCACTTTAGGAGCTGGTGGTAGCATAGTGGTCAACTAGAGCAGTCAACAATGTTTTCATCAAGAGAAGTGCACCAGATGATGTTTGCGTTTGCTCGAAGCGTTACTTCTCGAAGGTGTCAGCATGAACCTGACTTTTAAGGGATATGCGCTCCTGGACGAATGGATATCGGGGCGGCATGCAGTGATCCAAAGGCATTACAAGCGCGGCCACTGGCAGCAGCTGGACAAGCTAATTTATGAGCATAACTACAGGATGAACGATCTCAGCCACTGGCCATTCGATGGAGCATGTATATTCGCAGATGGCAACTGCGCATGTTTTCTTGGCAGTCTCAAAGCCGCCAGCTCTTTGCACGAGTTTCACTCCCTTTTTGGACGGGAGGTGACTGTGGTGGTGAGCTTATGCGCGCAGGACCAGTGCAACATGCGAGGCGCTCCTGAGGATTGGTCGGCATACTTCGAGTCCATGGAGGTGAGGTTTTTGTCGTTTGCCATGCAGGACCTGTGCGTTTCTGCTTCAGCAGACGCACTCAGGTTCTACAACCAAGCACGACATACGGTGGATACGTGGCTAGAAGCCGCGACTCAGCTGGTGGCGTGCTTTGAACAGTTCGCTGCGTCCGGCAGACCCTTCCATGTCCTTTTTCATTGTGTGGGAGGCATCAATCGCAGCAGTGGCATGCTTGCCGCCTGGTTGGTTATCGCGCATGGCTTCTCGGCCGAAGATGCCATCGACCGCATCCTGCAGGTGCGTCCTTCTTTGCGTCCATGGAGGCGTCGTGATTATGTGCTATGGCTGCTTGGCGCGCTAGAGCAGCAGATTCAGGAAGTGCGTGCGCACATTCTCAGAAGCGCGCAAGAGCTGCGTGGTTCGTCTGAGTCAAGAGCGAGGGAGTCATCTAGGATCACTCCACTTCCAATTTCAAACGACCTTTACGTCTTCGATGAAGACACAGAGCGTGGCTGATGCGCTCTCTGCAGATGCACGCCGCTAGTTTGTTACCGTACATGAGTTACGTGGAAAACGAGTCGAGAAAGGAATTGTGCTCGTGCCGCCTGTCTGTTGTGTGCAAAACAAGTTCCTGACATGATCTTTGCTTTCATGTTAGTTGAGATTTAGGCTCTGGCTGCATAAGTTTATGATCACTTGCTCGCTTTCGTTTGTGATGTCACCGACCTGAAGTTCCAGAAGCAGACTGTCGCGATCTCAGCTCTCTGAGAACGCCAGCGCGTTCATTGCATACTTGGGAAGAGGGGGCGAGGTTCGTGAGGGTGCCTGACTGACATGAGGCCAGGTCCTGTCAAGAGCTGATCATCTTTTGTCAGGCAGGGGTTTGGTCATGCTAAGCAAATGCAGCCTCAGATCCATGCGAGCTTCTCAAGAGTTCCTGGACATCCGCAGCCTCTTCCAGTGCCACGACTCGCGTGCGTGAGTTAGAGAGCTCCAAGGATGCAGGCTGTTAGCAGCGTGGAAATGTATGTCGCCTTGCACAGCACGCGTGCCCAGCAGCTTTTCACCGGCCAAGCAGTTCAGCCCTCGTACAGGACTTGTCAAGGGCTGCAATGTCACTTAGAATCCAGACCGTATGGATGAACCATAGATGCGTGCACTTGCAGGAATCGCTGGGGGCTGAAGCGCACGGTTCAAGAGGCACGCGTAAGTGTGCTTCGGTTCTCGAGCATTTGTAGTCAGTTCCTCAGCTCTTTGCTCCGAGTGTCGTATTGCAGGCGCTGCAGCGAGGCTTCGACAGCGAGATCACGAATGTGCGCACGTGGGAGCGCTTCGCCCCGCCGCAGGATGTTGAAGTCTACAGGATGCGCATCACGGCTGTGGGGTTAATGACGCTTCAGGCAGGGGCGTTGGCGTCGCGAGTGTGTGTCCTTTTGTGTCGTTGACAACGGAGAACGCTGTCTTCAGGAAGCCGGTCTTCTGGTTCCCATCGATGCAAACTTTCGTCTCACTGGTCCGTTGCATCAGCGCTTGCTTGCAGCGACTGGAGAGCTTCTTTATGAAGTGCTGGCCGAGGGCTTGAGCTTGCCGTAGTATAGTTTGTTTGGTTTTGTCACGGCTCTGCCGACGGCTGAGTCGCTCTCTGACGATGCCGAAAAAGTACAGGTAGACGTAGCTGGGCACTGCGGAGGGCCCAGTCGCTCTCCGCCTGAGAGAGTGCGGTGCTTTTGTTGATGCACTCTGCAGCCAGCGAAAAGATGGGAGTGAGAACGAGAAGAGTGCCCATGGTCCTTGAGCGGTTGCAATTTCAGGTTTGTGGTTCAGGATGCATGCAGAGCCAGGGATTCAACTTGAAAGTTCTAGGATGTTTCTTGATGCAGCCACTGGCAGGTATTTGGCACGTGCTCGGTGGCGAGCTTGCCAGGGATTCAACTTGAAAGTTCCAGGATGTTTCTTGATGCAGCGACTGGCAGGTATGTGGCTCGTGCTCGGTGGCGAGCTTAGCCGTCTGGACATCGCAATTTGTTGCAAGGGCTTATTCCGCTGAAGGCGAATTCCTGGGAGAAGCTCGCAATCCGTCAACGGGTTCGGGCCTTGTGATGTTTTGTTTTGCAGACGCACTGATCTTGCTTTCCGATGATCCACCAACATTCGCAGCATCTTTCATTCTTTTTCTGCTAGGCCAAGAAAGGCTCGTAGGATGCAATCTGTAACATCCATCGACCTGCACGTTGCCATCCGCTGCGATCGCGCGGAGAAGCTTTTTGCGGGCCAGCAGATCGAGCCTACGTACAGGTGCCCATGATATTTTGGTTGCACGCTCGCTTCAGTTTCGGGTCAGTATGAGGAGTCTGCTAGGTATGTGC